GTGTGGGTTCACTGACAAAATCTGCCCCGTGAGTTACATCAGATTACTGGGGGTGTTTTAGCACTCCTGCTCGGAGTCTGTACTTGTGAAAGTATCTCTTTAATGGTCCCAAACAAGTAGGAAGAGTGTCAACAAAAAACTCACTTTGATAACAACAAGGATGACCTTTGCTGTGGTATTTTTTATAGTTTCTTAAAAGGATCATCGTCATGTAATATACAAACTTTAGATAAATACTTGTTGAATCCCCACTTTAGACTGCCGTTGGTTAAAGTCTTAATTCTCTGTTTTCTACATTTGGGAATTACTTCATGTTCCCAAACATTAAGCGAACTGTTCAATCTGAAGGATGTTATATGCCAGATAAACTATTAAAGCTGTTAATATTATGAAGATAACTGGCATGACTACTTACAATCATACTTCATATTCATTTTCAAGGGAAAATCCCTGCAATGCTTGTTAGGTTATTAAAAATTGCAAATCTGACTTCAATGTAAGATAATATTTTTAAAGAATAAAGGCTTCTGTTGAATACTAATTACCCAATTTAACACAAAGTACAGCAGAGGTTAATAGGAATGTCATTAGTTTTGCAGGTATTTTGTCATATCAACCAACGTGTTAAGGTTTTGACCCAATGGTGGCATTAGATGATTATTTTCTCATTATTCTCTCTGAGGGGGATGTGGATGTCTATTCAAAATTTCATGACAATTAATTTAATAGTTTTTACATTAGTTACAATATCAACCTGATGGTGGCGCTAGAGAAAAAGTGGAAGGATCATCAAAATCAGCACGATTCACCCTCTGAGGACCATGAATGTCTGGGCAAAATTGTTGAGATTTTTAGATATTTCAGGCAGGAAATATGGTGAACCGGCCGACGTAACCATCTGTAGAGCCATGCTACAGCATGGCCAAAAATAGAGCAACCCTTCTCAAAAATATCATTCTCACCCTGACATAGACACCTAATCAAAGAATTCTCTCCCGACCTGACTACATCAGTACCCAACTATACATCTCACCTGAGGCATCCAGTAGCCAATCTCAGCCTCACCCTCCATCCAATACCAAATCAAGTCCTAGATTTGTCCCTATCTCCCCACAGCCGAGGACAGTGTGAGTCTATTACGAAGCCTGACAGAGGGAAGGACAGATAGAGGGAAGAAATTGAGAGAGAGACTAGACCTGGCACTGACATCATGTTGGTAGTCCTTTAACACACACACACACACACACTGGATCTCTTGATACCCACCTCTCATCACAACACCTCCACATGCTCCATCTCTCCTCTGTTAACTGGCAGCCTGATAACCGTTTTAGTGATAAAAGCCATGAGTAGTCTCAAAGATGAGATTCTCCCCAAAATCATAAATGTACAATTTCCTTCAATTTTCCTGTGTATCCAAATGCACCAAAAAGCGTTGTGTCATTTAACTGAGGGGGAAGGATTAAGGTACCACATTATCACTGTCACCTCTTTCTAAATCTTTTGAAATATACCCAAAGGCAGAGAAAGACTGCAGCAACTGATTTGGACCTGATCTCAAAATCATTACGGCCTCACAGCAATAAAACAATCTTCAGAGCAGCTCGATCTGTCTCACATTAAAACTTCAAAGGAGACTAGATATATCTAGTTGTTCCCAGTCGAGTTTCTCATGTTTCAGGTATTCTCTATAAATTAGCAACAGCTCACAAAATCTTGAAGCGGGCTGGCCTTAACTTGAGATCAGTAAAGAGTTTCTTTTAAAATGAGACAATTGTGATTGAAGACTCAATAACAGACTGAATAACTCGTCAAGATGCCTTTTTTTTGGCAGTGTTTCCAGTTCAGTTGACTTTTCACTCAAGACCTGAGCACCTCAGGCAAACTTGCTGCACCAATTGAAGGATTAGTGGGTATGAAGCCAACCGTTAACTCGGGATTGAGGACATTATTTATTCAGCTGGTTCATTCTTAATAACAGAATGGACCTCCAGTGGCCCTTAGAGATAAAGTCTGCACACTGAAGAATATGATTGTTGAATACTGAATATAAAAAAAAATTAATGCTGTTACAACTTTGAAAGATTTTTTTTCTAACTATTTCATAACCAGGTTCTATTCCATCCTCTCTATTTAAGTGCATTTTGCTCCAGGATAATGGCTTTATATAATCGTTGTAACTGCAAATGAGTGAATGAACGGTGAAATAAATAAATAAATGCACAAAACCAGTCTTCTCCCTCCACTTTACACACAGCATAACTCTTTTTACAGCCTTTATCCTTCAGTACAAAGAGTGGTGCAGTAGAATGGACTTGACACCAAAGAAACTTTTAATGACTCAAAGGTTTTTAGTTGCACTCCAGCTTTTGAAGTTCCACACAGTGAGAAATTTATTTTCATGATGTCCAACCCCATTTTTGATACTATTTATGAATATTTTTAATGGAAATGGTAGAGCCATTCCCACACTAGACTGTCTACCTAAGCATGATGCATGCAATTAATACAGTGCAATCTCATCAAAGTGAAGCTTCACTGTTTACTGTTCACTCTCTCCACACATTGGAACAATTCCCAAACACTAGCGCTAATAGCCACACACAGTTAGCATGAAATAATTTGCTTCTTCAGAGAGCTCGGTGGTAACTGAACTGCATTTTATAAGGGGGAATTACGCCCAGACTTTGATGGCAGCAAGGACTGTAACGCATCACAGTACATCAGATGTGCACAGATACAGCCAGTACAATACCTTTCAGCATGAGGGAGTGAAACTGTAAAACAACATAAAACCTACTGCTGCGAGAAATGGTTGCAGTGTAATGAAGTAGCGTCATGGTTAAGCAACGTTTGCATAAAAACATACTGTACATGCAGTTGCAAGAACAATACTTGCACTATAAATAGATATGCTAATTGCTCTTCCGTTGCATTTCTGACGAAGTAGCGAATACTATGAGTGTTTGTCGTGGTATTAAGCTACTATAGTAAAAAAGATCAGTGAAATGTGCTTACAATGCCTAAATGAAAACGTAAGAAATAATCCTTGTTCTCACTTGAAAATACATTAATCTGAACCAGAATGGGTCTGCTCTGATTTCATTATAGTCCAGTTTTACTATAAACTTAGCACTCTCCAGGCCCTCAGGCAGGTCTACAGGCTGAGTCTGGACAGAATCCTTCTGCTCAGCAGCACTCACAACACGGGGATCAAAGAGTGCGGCATCCCCTCCTCTGAGCCATGCTGGGACCGGCAGAGCGGCATGCAGCAGGGCACAACCAAGTGAGTAAACATCTCTCCGGGGATCCCTCTCTGTTTCTCCATTCTCTGACTGTTCGCTGCTTTCTGTGGAGTAATGAGAACAAAGTCTGTCTATTGGCTGAGGTATCGTGCTGGCGCCTGAACACATCCAGAGAGAGTTGAAGCAGATTTTCCTCCCCTCTCTATCTCTCTCTGTCTGTTTCTTGTTTCCCCCCTTTCCTCGCTGTCAGACAGCGTTTCATTCACTCCCACTCCATTGCTGTCTCACATATTTCTCACTGTCCTCATTCTTTCGTTTTTTTTGGCCCCCGCTATGAGTAAACTCCTCCCCATCGCTCGCATTTATTTCTCAACTAAGTGAATTTCCTCATTCATCACTTTATCCATTTCACTAGACTCTCTGTGAGACAATCTTTTTCTCTCTTTCAACTGACCCTTGGATTCTCTCCATCCATCTATTATATCATCTTCGTCAATCTTGGTTTCTCCAGTTTCCTCTTCCACACTGCTCTGTCACTTGACATCACTCACACTTTTCCTTCTGCTCTCTTTGTTGATCTTGGCAGTCACCTCTCTCTTTCTCTCTCTCTCTCTCTCTCTCTCTCTCTCTCTTCATCCCTCGCTTGAGACTGGACACTGGTCACACTATTCCTCGTTTTGGCTTCCCAGAGCCCCCATGCTGGTTTGTGTCTGTGGGCAATGTCCTTGAACAGAGGTCATGGGTTTCCTCTAGTTTGAAGGGTCTCTCCTCAAGCTGCTGTTTGTGTGTTTACGTGTGTGTTTGGGAAAGGAGAGTAAATGTTATTTCCAAATGTGTGCGTGTGTTTGTAAAAGCTCAAGGACGTGTGTTGTTTGCATATACGTGTGTGTGTGTTTTCTCTACGTACAGAGGAGGGGCCATGCATGTTCTTTCCTGCCAGTGATTGCCCTTGACATACACACAAGAGGATAAGCACACACCTGACTGCCTGAGTCTGTGTGTGTGCTGCAGACGAGATTCATTTGTGTGTGTACACGCACCTCTGAGTGTGTGTGCGCATACATCCGAGTGTGTCTGTGCTTGTGTTTCCTCAGGATAAACAATGCCATCCAACCCTATTATGAATCCGCTGAGCAAACTGACACTGATTGTTCGCAGCGCACACGTTCACAAACAAAGCACACGCGAAACTCCGTCTCTGAATCAACTTACACATGCAGGATGACACGAGAGCATCAGAGTTTTTGGGCCAAGATGGCTACGCTTGACCTCAATCAATCCACATGGAGAGCACTGTGGGAAGCAGGGGGCGGAGCCTTACCGCCAGCCAGCACCTGAGCAGTTACCGCAGCAACAGCAAGTGGAACAGTTGGCTGGCATTGCCTGGCTGCAATAATGAATTACCTGGAAAAGCCCACTGGGAGGCACAGACGGCTGTTGGCAGTTCACCGGGGGATTGGAAGCATGGATCTTCATCCACCGGATAATGAACTGGTCATTTTGCTTTTTGGGGAATAGTACTAATTGCTGGCCAGAGAGAATTTCAGAGCTGAGCACCTACCTGAGTGTTTTGGTGGTCATGTCAGCTGCTGTGATGCCATGATACACCAGCGTTTCGTTCCACACTGGGTTCAACGTATTCTTCAGGGTCTTTGTGCGTAGCTTGTTTGCCTGAGGGGATAAAGAAGAAAAAATATGAAAAGAAATTCATGGAAAGGGAAGGATCAAAAAAAGAAAAGAGGAATAAGAAATGTTTTAAGGGTGAGGGAGCAAACTAGTCAGATCAGAGAAAGAGAAAGAGAATAAAAGATCATGAAAAGGAAGCAAAACGAGTGACACTAAAAGATCAAGAAAAACAGAGAGAGAGAAAAAGAGGGGAAACATCATTTATCTCTGTCCCTCAGGAAATCGCAGACATCTGCTGCCTACTTTGTAGAGGAGAGTGAGAGGACACAAGGCTTCCCTCGCTTCACCTGTCCGTCTGTCTCCTCCCCAACATAAGACACCAGCCAGACCTCCAAAACAAGGACTGTGTCTCAAAAACAACACAGCAGCCAATTAAATTGCACAACACATTCAACATGAAAAATTAAAGCTCTCCAGGAGAGGAAATGCCCATGAGCCCTTAATAGCTTCACCATCCATAAATAAAGTTTGCAGCCACTTGGTGCCTCATCTCCCATAGTTGCCTTCAAGATGTGTTCATTTTTCAAGTTTTTATTTCAGATTTGCTTTTATATGTATTTTAATTATTAAAAATTCCTTCAAGAAATGTTTAATTTAATTGCATTTTCAATTTTTGACTGATAAACGCATTCCTGCACAAAAGTCTTGCAAAGCCAAACCTCTGGCTCAAATTATGAAGTTCTAGACACATTCTGGTCATAAAATCAGTGGTGGAAAAGATTTACTTTAAGTAGAATTTATATGAGCGCTATACTTGCTAGCTACATTGCAGATTTAGATTTAAAGTACATATAGTAAGGATATAAAATACAGTATGTTATAGTTTGGTAATATTATATTTTTTTCTCCTTGTAAACAAATCCCATTAAAAGACCAAAACCAACAATATATTGATTATACCAGCAAGTATAATCTTTGTAGCGAAAGCCTGACATAAGAATTATCATGGCCATAGATCTAAGGGCCCTTCAGTGATTTAGCATTGCACTTCCTGTAAAGGCTCGGTGAAAGGTTTGAACCAAGAAGCACAACTATAAGGAATAGGAAAATAATATAAATTTAAAAATGGAACCTTACTCGTTGTCAAAAACAAAAGTCAAAACCAGACAGGGGTGATGAGGCAGACTTATCCAGGAGGATCAGACTAGCAAGCTGGTGTCAGTCATGGTGTCATAACAGGCAAAACTCTGGCAGTCTGCAACGCTAAGAGGCATGATAGATGATCCAGTCAGGAATGAATGGAAGTGGCCCAGAATACAGCAGGACAGTTAAGACATGGCAGGGGAAAAAAGCAAATAAGGAAAATGTGAGACTAGGAGTTGGTTAACAGGCTAGACAATGTTATAGTTCCTCTCTGCTGGGGACAGTTTGTAGAGGAAGAAATCGCAGGGTTGAAGCTTCCGGTCCTGGAGGGATTGCTGGAACTGTCTGCCTCCACCACAAATTAATGTGAAGGATCCGGAAGGATGAGGACAGGAGCTGTGGTGAAACGACACTTTAGCTCCCTGAAGGCCTCCTTAGCAAACTGGGACCACACGAAAGGATAATTCTGGTAGCTGAAGGCTTTGAGGGTGACTGCAACAAAACTGTAGATTCCAACGAAGCACCAGCAGAAATTGCTGCAACTACTTGTGAGAGGAAGGGACAGGCCAGTCTATGACTGTCTTGAACTTGGTGGGGTCCATCTGGATGCTGCCTGCAGTGACAATGAACTTCAGGAAGGACACCTTGGAGACATGTTGCAGTCTGTGGAGGACACACTACACATGTTGCATCTGGTCTTAACCCTAAGATCAGAATGTCATCCAAAAAAACCAAAACAAACAAATCATGTAACAAAGTAATTTATGAGTGCTTATAAAACTGCAGGAACATTGGTCAGACCAAAAGGCATTGCCAGATATTAACAATGGCTGCTTGGTGTGTTAAAAGCAGTCTTCCACTCATACTACTCATAAATGCATACTGAGTGATAAGCTTGAGTTCTAAGAAAACAGTGGCCCCCTGTAGCAGTTTGATGTTCGATGGAGGGATGGAGGGATTTGTCCTTTTCATCCACAAAGAAGAAGCCTTGGTGATGAGAAAAAGGGGCAGAAGATACCTGCTGTCAAGTAGTCACTGATTTATTTCTCCATTGCTTGAGTTTCAGTGTGAAAAGTCTTGTCTTGGACGGAGACATGCCCAGGAGGAGATTGACGGCACAGTCATAGGGGTGATGGGGAGGCAGAGAGGTGGTTTAAACTTTATGAGAGACCTCTTTCAAATCCAGATATTCAGAAGGAACTCCTGAGGGATTTGGAAACCCCAAATGAAAACTGATCTCAGACACACACGCATGATAGTGATAACTCCAGCCCAAAAACAAGCCATGTTTACCCTAGAATGACAGGCAGTTGAGGTACATCTACAAGGTGACAGGTGAGTGTTTCATGATGGTAACCTGACATATCCATGTGGACAGGGACAGTTCTGTGAGTTACCAAGCAAAAGGACGTTGTCCATCGAAGGCACTAGCTTCCATGGGTTGGGCTAGATGCCCTCAGCTGATGTCCAGTTAAGTGGCAAGTATGCTGTCCAGTGG